GCCCACCCATCCCCATCCCTCAAAGGCTGGTGACCGAGCCCCCGTGGTCAGCGGCCTCTTGTGCCACATCATCATCTTCGTGCTCTGGATCCAGGGCACCAGCTGTGGCCTCCACAGCTCCAGAAGGGGGGGGGCACCTCTCAGGCTGGCTCCTGCACCACCTTCCTCCCCCCAGCATCTGCTCAGCCGACGCTCCCTCCTCCTCCACCTCCTGCAGCCCATGTTCTGCACCGGCCTCCCTCTTCTCCCTTCTGCAGAGGACGGCAGAGGTAAGCGCGTGTCCCCCCGGAAAAAGCCCTTCCAGACACAGCAAGGTGGGGTTCAGCATTTTACTCACCTCGATTCCCCAGGGGCGTCCTGGAGCTTGTGTGTGGAGCTGAAGCCTCTCTCTGCCCCCTGCTTAGCTGGCGCATGCTGCTGCTCTGTCACCCCACGGAGATAAATAAAGTAAGTTTTGCTCACATTCAGTCCACTTAGCAAGGGTCGCATCAGCCCCGAGATGCCTTGAGCCATCATGCTGCTGCGGGTCCTGCTCCGTGTCTCCAGAGTTGGCATTTGTTGCAAGGCCAGCTAGATTAAGAGCTATAAGTAGAGCTGGGGGGGGGTGGGGTGCGGGGAGGAAGAAACAAAAAACTGAAAAAACCCACCACACTGAACTAGGACAGCCTCCCTGAGGGGGGAGGGAGGGGGGAGGGAGGGGAGAGAGGAGGGAAGGGTGGACAGAGGGATTGCGCTTGGATCCTGCTGCAGTCCAGCCTGCCAGGGCATGGGAATTGGGCGAAGAATGGCAACACGAGCATCATCTCCACGTGCCAGTCCCCAAGCTATGCTCACCCCATTTTGCCTTACAGACTTCCCTTTGAGGAACCAGACCCAAATCCAGGTTCAGGAGCAATATTTACTGCAATGCCTAACCACACAAGGGTTTGCAGACCGCAGGCTGGAAGAGCAGACTGGCAGGAGCCACGGGCAGAGAGGGGCATGCCGGTTTTACAGCAACGGGCTGAAAGCAAGGCTTACGGATTCTGCTCTTGATGTGGGTGTTGTCCAGCCTCACCATTGCCTTCCACAGTACCACAGGCTTCCAGCTCTGAAACATGAATATTCACTTTCTGCACAGGACAGTGGCGCGAAGCAGCCACACTTTGCTCATTTGCTAAATGCTCGGCTGAAAAATGCCATAAAGGCGCAGATAAGCATCACTCATTTCATGCTGATGCTCCATGCTAGTGGGACTGCTGTAGAAGAAAACTTCAATTTATTTCCAGAACCACTGTCACCAGTTTAGTCTACCCTCCCCTCCAGGGTACGTCAGTTTGCCCTCAAGAACCAAAACACAACAGCAGAGACAGTTTCAGTTCCTGGTTTTTGTCGAGTTTGAGAACAGCTCCCACCCATCTCCAAAGCCCGAACTGTCCCCAACACCAAGTGAACAGTTCACCGTTTGGTAGGGTGCTTGCTTCAATCAAGTTTTTTAATGCAGTAACGTATTAGTTACACCTTTGAAACTGGACTCTGGGATCAACCCATACAGGGGAGAGAAACTACAGCTTAAGAATTGGCTGGAAAATATTCCCCTCACCATGCACACACACAGGATTCATAGTTTTGAAGAGGACTGGAAACCTTTGGGGTTTTGCCCCAAAATGAAGTTTTTCCACCCAAAGCTTTCAGGTTGGAAGGGGATGTTTAAGCTTTCCGAGACAAGCGTTGAAGACATTAAGGAGTGCAAGTATTTTCCGTAAGCAGGGAGGGGAATCCTATTCTTCAGTCCAATAAAGTTTTAAAGGTGCCGCTCCCATGACAGGACGCACGCGAGAGGAAATCGGGGTGCTCTGCTATGGAGGGACGTGATCAGCGATAACATGGAGTCGTATTTGCAGGGGATCGCTGACCAAAGTCTCCATGCTCCCTTTGCTGAACGTGGGCGATGCTTCCTAGCTCAGCCCGTGATGGGCTTGGCGACCGTCAGTCACAGCCCTGCAGCGCCCTCATGCCAGCCCCTGCTTGTCCCACAAATGCACTTTTTTCTGCTCCAGGACTTGCCCCTCAGGTTTCGTTCAGGCCAACAGCTCTGCAAGTGCATGGAGGGTGAGATGGACCACTGAGTATCACCAGGATTTTAGCCCAGAGTGAGCGCTACCCCCAAGTCCTGTGCCACGAGAGCGCGGCTGTCTGCCAGGAGGCACGGCCCCTGCAGCATGCCGAAGCCAGGATGCCACGTGGCAGGCATGGGTGCACATCAGACTGCCCAGCCATGCCCAGGTTTGCTAGGATTCCTCTAATTCCACCCCTTGACCCCGGTTGATGTAAAAATTTGTCATTTCAAATCATCTGTAGAACATCCTTCGGCAGCTCCCCTCCCCACCCGCGCTTGTATCGCAGAGGAGAGCTGGCAGTACGGCGAGTGGTTTCTTTCAGCCGAACGCAGCTCTGGCCAGCGCCCCAGCTCCGTGGCCCCTCGCTCCCAGGTCAGCTTTTCCAGGTGGTTTGCGCTCTCCTGCAAGCTGCCCAGAATACTTCAGCCTCCAAATGCAAACTCTTGGGCTGCAGCTCACCCCTGAATTTAGAGTTGCTTTGTGCAGCCTCTGCGGCTGAGAGACTGCCCAGTCCTGCCTTCGCTGTTCAGGCACTGCGGAGACGTGGAGGCAGCCCAGCCCTGCCTCTCAGTCATTTCCATGGAAGGAAGGCAAGGCTTCCCAGGAGAAATGCGAGGAAAGGGGCCACAGCACATCCAGACAAACCACAAAGCATCTTATCTCTCCAGCAAACCTTGAATTGAGGGATACACTAGATATATGCGCAGCAGTTTTCACAGCAAGGACGTCTGCGTATTTGCTTGGCACTGACCTCTCTCCTTGACAGGAGCTTGGAGCACAACAAGTGATGGGTCGGTGCCACTCGCCGGGAGAGCACAGCAAGCGACGGGTCGGTGCCACCCGCCGGGAGAGCGGCCAGTGCAGAGAGGGACATCAGCCCTGAACACACCGTGCCCCGTCCTGCAGGGCGGTAACAAGCAGTGAAGGGGACAACGGTCCCCTGGTGAAAGCAGGAACAAGCCTGCTGGGGTAGGAGAAAACCATGCCCTGTACTGAGTTCGGGTGGCTGCTGTAAGGCCTGCGGAACGGGGGGGAAGAGGGCAGAAGTACGATCTCCTTTTTCCCTCCTCTCCCCTACTCCATCTAGCAGCAAGCCCAGAAGGAAACAGCCTTCCCAGGGTAAATCAGTGTTCATTCAGCCCAGGGCACAAAACCAGAAAGCTTTACAAATAACCACCCCTCCCACAAAAAACAAACCAAACAACAAGAAGACCCAAACAAACAAACAACAAACCACGCAAACAAAAATATCCTTGCTTTGAAAAAAACATCAAAACCTTGCTTTGGAGGTCAGCACAGACTCCAGGGGTAGGACAGACACAGCTGAAGCGAATCCTCAGCTCCGTTTCACAGAAATCTGGCAGAAGCCCAGTTTGCCCCCATACACACACGCGCATCCCCCAACCCCACCTCTTGCTTCCCAGCAGGGCACTGCCGCCAGCACAGCGGCATTGCTTACTTGTCCAGCAATGTGGTAGCACATGCTGGGAAGGAAGTGGTTTTCTACCTTGAAATACATTGCCCAATTTCTTCTGCACCACACAAAGGACGATTTGCCCCCCATTAACTCCACCCCCTCCCTGATTTCTGCACAAGTAGTAAACAGATTGAAATCAGCACTGCACTGGCCCATCAAGACATCACGCAGTACCATGGCAGCCCGGAGCACGCTTGGACTTCTCGGGTGCCAGACCCGGCTCCTCCGACCCCCGTCTCAGCCACCTCAGCAATCGCAGGGGCGTAGTCAGCACAAAGCAGACTCGTCCCTTTGGGCTGCAGACACTGTGCGAACAGCTCTGACCAGAAGAGCTCTTCTGTAAGCTTTGTGGCTTCCAAGACACCCTAGATGAAAGGTTTAAAATTACCATATTAGCCCGCTGCCCCTCTGAAAGCAGCCGAAAATCATTGTGTAATCCTGTAGTTATTAACACACACATTAATATAGCTTTAGTGATAGCAGTTATATTTATAGCAGTTCCGGGGTTGTGAGAGTAACCCCACTACCGTTTGAATCAAGATTTGATACGTTTGACAAGTTAAGGGAGGAAGACGTTCCTCTATGATGGGAAGGATCAGGAGAGGCAGCCTGTCCTGCAGCAGAGGGAGGAGGCAGAAATCACACACAAGTCAGAAACCTTCTGGCCCTCATCCACAAGCGAGCTGCGACAGACACAGAAAGATTACAGGCATCATCCAAGCAAGCAAATTAACACCCGGCTCACTCCAATACTGGGGCATTTTATCAAATCAGTACTGGATAAAATCCCAGGTGCCCGACAGTGGAACTCCCACCACGTCCAGAGGGGAGGGAGGAGCTGAGCAAGCAGCTGAGCAAGTCGTGACAGAGCTGACGGCCAGCACCGTGCCCCCCCGCCCTGTACAGGAGTCGCGGCTCCTGTGTTGTTTGGAGCAAGCAGGACTGGCCCACGCTCTCCTCCAGGTCTGTGGGAGGGCAGGCGCTCTCGGCACACGAAGGGCGCGGAGCTGGAAGCCTGAGCTGCGAAAGAGGCCACCAGGTTCAGCCTCAACTCTTTTGCCTTGGAAGAAACACATCATCCTATCTGCCTTGTTTGACCTCTCAAAGGAACAGGGGAGAGGATCTTCGGCTGGCCTCCGAGAAGCACGAATGAGGGATGATGGATAAAACACACACCGGAGAGAGAGAAGTGCTCGTGCCAGAGCTGCACTGGCCCAGTCGCTGCCAAGAGGCAGCCAGGGGCAAGCCCATGCTGTTCCCATGGGTGAAGTTTCAGGGACTGTAGTCAAAGCAGCAGGCACACAGACCCAGGAATAACGAAGGTTTCCAGAATGCGTCCTTCCTTAACTTGAACAGAAAGAACAGCCTAGCCCTCGCCTGCCGCCGAGCCCACCACCTCGCAGATACTCCTGCAAGGAAGCAGGTACCGGCTGCTTACACAGAGCCACTGAACGAAACTAAAACGCCCCTATCCCCATTGCCACTGTGAAAATTCATCCACCGCCTTTCCTGTTCCAGAACAAGCTGCTAATAAAAGCGCATAGGATAACTTGTGCTTGTTCGATTCCTCCAAGCCCACAGGACCAGGTACGGAGCGCTGCCCCAAAACAGATGCGCTGAACGCAAACCTGCGGACAAAGCGCTTGCGTCAAGCGCACTCACGTCTCGGATGCTGCCTCGTAGGGGCTGGGGGCTCGGGGCAAAGACTGTCAACACACCTCAGCTTCTGCCTCTCTCTCTCTCACAAGACCACTGCGTGCCTGCTCCGACCTTCCTCTAGACCTTCAGTAACCTTCTGAGAATCACTTCAAACCAAAGGACAAGGGCCAAGTTTTCACCACTGGAAGCAGGAGTAATGCAATCATCAGAGGTGGGCTAACACTGCAGCAAGGGAACAGCATGCATTCACAGCAGGGCCTCTTGGCAGCAGCCGCCCCGGCAATGCAGCTGCGCCTCCCTGGGTGAAGGCCACTAAGAAGTTACAGTGCCCCAAGCCAAGGCCTTCGCCTGCAGATGCTTCTCCCTCAGTCAGTCAAGGATGCTTCAAAGATGGATGGGAGGGCAGTACTGCTGCGTCTAGGTACAGACAGCCTTCACCATAACCTCCCAGCTCAAGAGCAGTGTATTCTGCACCCCCTTGACCCTTCGTTCAGCCTCGATGATTGAAGATCAGCCCTGGCTTGTATTTCTTTAAAAGATGATGCACAACCAGAGGCAATGGCAATCACAGGTGCTTGCAATTTCCCAACTAGCTCTGCTCACCAGAAAGCTGTACCAATGGTACTCGCACTGCCCAGAGCAAGTGCCTTCTCAACACAAGTTGGAGGTACAGTCCCTTCCAGGAGCTCCCAATATTACTTTTTGCAGTCTCAGCACTACTCTTTCCTTGATGTCTCCTCCTTCCTCCCCTTTCCCCTATACCCACCTCCTCCTGCCCTCTATCCTGAGAAAGTCTATCTTAAAATTACCAGTAACTTCCAAAGACCCACTGCTTGGCACTAGGTGTTCATTTAGGCATTGTTCAGCCACAAGGACCTGCACCCTTGTCCACAAATTGCACCTAAATTAGAGCTGCAGACCTGCAAGACAAAAGCCAGCCTCCGCCTAACGTTTGGTGTGCTTGTGCACAATGCTACTGAGCCTGCTCATACGTGCACAAAGAATCTCACACCAGGCCACTTAAAAAAAATAAACACACCCGTGCTTCCCTCCAAACATATCAGCCTGAGCAAGCAAGTGATAAGCCCGTCATCTACCTAGAGAAGCCCCCATAGGACTTGTCTACATCAAAACAAATCGGCACTCAGAGACCAACCCCTTGCAATTCCCTCCCTTAGAAAGTGAAAACAAGAGAAGGAAAAAGCAATCACAGCCTTATTTCTACAGCTGTGCTGACTCCAAGTAGGAGCCTTACTCTGCAGCGCAGCCCCCGCGAGGCAGAGGTTCTGCAAAGCCCCTCTTCACCACCGCAAAAAGCAGCTGCGAAGATCCCACGGTTCATTGGCAGCAAGGTGGCAGCAGCCATGCTCTTCCATCACTGGGCCCAGCCCCGAGACCTCAGGAAACACAGGTAGAGCACGCCACGGCAAGGCAGCCACAACTCAAATTGGGCTGAAGCCCCCAGTACAGGGTGAGGGCAGGACAGACCAGGCAGGACAGCAGGGGCAAGCAGCAGCACCAGGGCCCAGCCACCCTCTGCTCGCTGACCGGGTCGTGGATGCCCATGGGCATGGCACGGCAGGCGCTCACCAGTCGCGAGTTCCAACAGCAGCTCCTCCTCCTCTGTTTGACCAGTCCATCTGCAAGTTACACATGATGTAGATCTACACTCTGTGTCTCCACACAGAAATGTGGATTCCAGTACCGGCTCCAGTCAGACAGCTTGGAGGGCTGGGAGGGAGAAAGGGGTGTCAGCCGAGCAGTTGCTGTTCAGAACGCAAGATCTCCTTACTTGCGAGAGTGCTACCAGGCCGACCGCTCAGGAGGCACAGCGCAGACCTGTTTAGCTTGGAGACACGGCACTAGACCCAAAGCAAGCCTTAAGTAACCAGCCAGACACCATCTGCTGAGTTTCTCTGAACTTTATTGGCACTTCAGGAAGAACAGGGTATGTATTTTAAACAACTCCTCCAAACAGGAAAAAAAAAAAATGTCTTGATATCAAGTTTCTCTCTGCGGATAAGCACATGGACCCAGGAATTACTCGACAACCTTAAGGAATCGATGTTTTATTATAATCCACTAAAAAGACTGGTCAAAAAAACCTCAACATAATTTACAGCAACAAAAAATAAAACAAGAAAAAACAAGCCAGGCAAACATTTGATAAAGTACTTCCCTCCCCCCACCCCCAAGAGGAGCAGTTATCCAACTGAACTGGAACATGGAGAGGAAGAACAATTCACTGTATTCTAGCAAATAAAAAAATGTGTCTACAAAACTCACTGTAATACTGAAAGCTTCTTACATTAGTTTTCTTGCAAAATATCATTTCTTTACAATACAGTATACATTTCCAAGGGAATGAGGACCATAAACATATCCTCCATCCCATGACTAATATTTTCTAATTGTGCATAGCTAGAAGTACTGAAATCAAATATCGTTAGATACCACTGGAATATAATACTGGTTAAGAAGGCGGCAGGGCTGAAACAACTACAAAGAGTTAGGTGGACTCACTGGCACAAGCCGTTCTATTCCTATATTGGACCATTTGGAATGAGAACAATTTTAAAAAAATCCTATAAACAGAAGTCATGCCAGCATCATAATACAGGAGCTCAGCAGTGTTGTGTGACCCATCGAAGCAGAAAAGGGTTACTAGTTCATTATTTGAACACGTATTCCAGGCACCATACATCACCTTGTTAAGAAATTGTTAGGATTTAATAAAGGCTTTTCTCCCTGCAAACACATCGACAGTTGCCATGGACAGAGCAGAAGTGCCGAGAACCAGCTTTAAAGCACCAAAACAGAAGTGTAAAGGTTGTCTGTTCCCCCAGTAACGAGACTCACGTGGAGCCAGTGCCCATAACCCTTCAGCACAGAAACACGCAAAGCGGTTCTGACAGATTTAACTGCAATCTTTCGTTTGTGCTTTCAAGAGTAGCGAGGCATGTGGGTTGGGCCAACCAAAAGCCTACGATGTCATGTCCCCCTCAAAACCATGCTGTGCCCAGGGGAGAGAAGGGTGCTCCCACGTGACTTACCGAGATGTTTAGAAGCAAGCCGCTACGCTATGCTCCTAACAGAGGTTGGTTGGTGCTCGCGTGGATCTCCGCACAGACTTTTATTGCTTCCAAAAAAAATACAATAATACAGCACTGGTAAGGTTGTTTCCAGCAGCCCAAGGAATTCTTGGGGAAATACTGCAGTTTATTAACACTATCATGAATGTTTCTTTTTGGCACAGTCCCCCTTTAACTCTTCCATAGAGCATGCAGATGGAAAAGCTCTAGCATTCAGATGTTTTCCTTCTATCACCATTAGCGGTGACACCATACGAAGGGGGAATCCACAAAAACAGAGAAATCGCAGGCTAGCCTGATGACTTCCTATAGGGAGAGGCTAATCCAAGGAGGGCAAAGCAAAGGAGGAGTCCACTGTAGGTAGAATCCATTTTTAAGAGGCCTCTTCTGAAGGTTAACATTTCCTTCTATGAAGGATCAAGGCAAAAATCCAATTCAACCCTGAGCGTATGTGGCTGTTTCCTCCCCAGAAATGGCAGGAAGGACTCTGGGCAGCTACAGCATGGATAGCTTGGAAGACAGGAGGTGATGGGTATTACAGCAACTGGTACAAATGGCTCTTGGGACCAGCCTCACAACCACCAGCGTCCCGTTTCTAAGAGACAGAGCCTTCTGTTCACAAAGCTACAAAGGGGCAAAGCACCCTTCTGGGGAAGGAAAAGCACTTGAGCCAGGGATCTGGCAGAATGCTCGTGAGGATTAAGGCAGCAATTGGACAAATATCTCAGGACCCTCTCCCCTCAAACGCTGCTTGAAGCCAGGAAGACAGATGCAGTCTTGTACACGACCCAGATACAACAGTAGTTTTTGGTCCCCAACTGCTGATCGCTTTTTATGATTGCATCTAGTTTAAACTAAAGGCATCTGAGCTACAGCAGATCTATACAGGGTCATAAGGCACCAATGACTCTGCTAGAAAGGCCTCTTATGGAAAAACCTGAAATCCTATTCGCACAACTGGAAGTGTACTGGTTCAGAAAGGGAAAATACAGCTACAGGCATTTTTAGCCTTTTACAGTTCTACCTGCCCCTTTAGGTTTCCATTGGCAAACCCAAAAAGGAAGGCAGTGTTCTTTAGCTATCTCTGGCTCACTGGTTACATTCAAATTGGACAAATGACAGTGAACAAAGCCATTTACCAGAGACGAACATTCTGGAAGGCAGGGAATTCGAGACTCCAAACCTCACTGCATCAGTGGAAGTATTCCAAAGGCCTCCTCATGATTAGGAAATTCAAAATTCCATCATTATACAAAAGGTAACACCAGCAGGAACGCCACAGAATCTGTTTGGTCTGCTTATGTTCAAAGGACAAAAGCTTTGGTCTTTTAGAAAGAAAGTCCATATTCTACCTCCAACCCTTCTTCCGAAGCTCCAGCCTCCCCTTCTCAACTACATGATTCAGACCCTGTATTAAGTCAGAAATTCAGACCCTGGCTACAAAGCTTAATACTGAAGCTTGTGCAAGTTAGTAGGAAGGCACAGTGTCAAACTGTTAGCACTTTATGTAACTCAGTAAAAGTATCTGCTGGCCTCCCCACTCCACGGGAGAGGACAGCCACACAGCCCCTTCAGTAAGCAATACAAAACTAAACGCAGTGAGACTCTACCCAAAGCCAAACAGTTTCAGATTTGCCCCAATACACATTTGCTTTCCAAAGCCACCCCAGGAAGATGTAAATACTATTCTTTCTTCTGTTGCTTAACTCCAGCATTTGCCCAAAACTTGATAAATAAGACCGTGGTCACTCTTCTGTAGTGGTTCCAGCGTAGCACGATTACGAGTGAATGGCGGGAGAGGATGGGAAAGAGGGGAGAAGAGAGTGCAGGGCAGCAGGTGCAGGGGAGAGTTTACATGGACTCAAACTCATCAATGCGCTGCTTGGTGTTGCCCTGCCGAATCTGACGGAGGGTCTTGTACTTGTCTCGGCCCAGACGCATGTTCTCAGCATGGATCATATCATTGGCTGTCTTCTTGGTTTCATCCCGAGCGTTTGCCAGCTCTGAGGAAAGAGCCTTCGGAGAAGGGGAAACAGATAGCAATGGGTTAGCACATGCCAGAGACTCAAAGCTGGACAAGGACATTCCTTGCTGATCCTCCTAAAGATTCAATATCCACGGAGACAGGGAACAGGTAAGCCTGAATGTTCACAGTTCTGGGCAACTTGCTCTAGCTGACCCTGCTTGAGCAAGGAAGTGGGACGGGATGATCTTAAGAGGTCCCTTCCAACCCAAACAATTCTGTGATTCTGTGGAAGTTGTTAATATTTTTCCCCTAACATTTGAAGGTAGAAAACATCAGGCAGGGCAGTCTGTCACCCTGTTTATCTTTGTCTAGCACAGTAGAAAGACTGTCGCCAATGTACTTCAGAAGAAGAGACAAGCGGGGGGATCCCTAAAGGCAACAGAAGCACCTTGCAGGACTTGCACAATTACTAGCCTTCTATTACAAAAGCAGCTTGCTGCAGAAGAAAAAGTGCACCTCCATCACTCTGCCTGCGCATAAACACCACAGCACAATGCAGAACAAGCAAAGCCTGATGCAAGTCAGGCAGCTATCTGGCAGTGTGTCTGTCCAAGCATTTTGTTACACCACCAGAACACTGGAGTTCCTTGTGAGAAGGTGGTGCACCATGCTGAGCCCTAGTGGGCTGCTCTCAGGCTTTTGCAATGCAACCCAGTCAGAAAAGACAATTACAAGCAGCTGCTTAATAGGAACTGGACCAAGTTCTCCGATTCATTGCAGCCAGGACTATGAACAGCTGTCAGATGGCCGGCAAGACCTGCACAACCACACCACGTCTGACAGATGCTGCTTTTTGGCACCGCTTGAAAATTCTTCGCTACTTCCAGTGAAAGGGAAGTCAAGCGCCAGGAGACAAGATCTGCCTCTCTGCTCAGTGGTTAAGCAGCTACCTGGCAAGGTCTCAATCACCCCTCTTCCCTCTCTCTCCTCTCCCCCCACCCCCCCCTTTTTTTTTTTTTTTTAAAAAATACCAGTAATACCTCCCAGCTGCAATTAAAGGCAAGAATAGAAAGCAGCACCCAGACACACACCCTCCCTGCTGGCCAGCTTCTTACCTTCAAGTGCTTCTGGACCCGTTCATTCTTCTCTGCCTCAGTGGTGCGCTCCTCCTCACTGCGGTCCTTGATGGTGGCCTCCGATCGTAGCTCAGCACTGGCTTCTGCCGCATTCTCATCCTGCTCATCATCATGCTCATTCTCAGAGTGCATGGGTTCAGTGACGTGAGGGGTGCTCATGGCAGTCTTCAGCTCCTCTTTGGTCTTTTCTAGGTCCTCCTGCACCATCTGTGCCTGCAGTAGGGCATGCCACAGCAAGTTAGTCAATATAATCCCATGTATGTGAGACTTCTCACAGAATCACTACTCAGTGCTTGTCACAGGAAACCTTGCACGCTGAAGTGCTATGTTCCAAAGCTACTCAGCCACAATTGTTTGCAAAAACTTTCTGCTGGCTAACACTCCAGAGATCTGAAGAACAGTTGTAATTCACAGAAAATGGGCTACAGGCTTAATTAGTCAAAATATTTCTACATGGAGTTAGAATAAGGCGTTCATTCCACCAAGAAAAGTGAAACTGGGTATTCACAACGGCCTCAAGCTTGCACACACTCAGTCTAGTGTGGAATCTAGTGGAGTAGTTTAGGTCACAACACAGAATGAAGAGCAACTCCACAAAAAGCACTGCTGTTTGCTCAGATGCTGCTTTACCTTCTGTTGCCACTCCTGGGCCTCGCTTTCTTTCTTCTGCCTGGCCAGCTCCAGCTGCGTGATCCTAGCTGTGAGTTCTGCCATCTCAGCAGCCTGAAAAAGAAAAGCTTTTAGTGGGGACAAAATCAAAGTACTTGCTAAATGAAGCACACAGTCCAAGTCCTGAATAAAAACAGTATCTCTAACATCTTTCTGGTAAGGAGAAAGCCTTCCTGTAAATTTCAGTCCCACCAGTATCTCCATAATGGAAGGGAAAAGGAAGCAAAAAAAAGTTTTGGGTTTTGTGGCAGTGTTTGGTTTCCCCCTCGACCCCTTCTCCTCCAAACAGAGCTACAGAACTCGATTCTTTGAATCCAAACCAGGGAAAACAATTAGTGAGCTCTACACTCTGTTCTCAGCATCACATACCAAAAAAAAAAAAAAAAAAAAAAAAAAAAAAAAAAAAAAAAAGGCAAAAAGCACAATCCAGATTTACTACACCTAAATAAAACTTCTATTTAGGTCTAAGTTCATCTGCTTGAGGCTAAAAATTGAAGAAACAAACTATGCTTCCTCAATATATTCATAGCCTGGTTTGCTTCAAGAGTTTTGATGTCCACCCTGTCACTATTTTCTCTACCCGATTTTCAGCTCACCCACTTACCAGCTGTTCCTGGGTCTTTTGTTGATCATGGGACGCTCTCAACAGGGCCTCCTTTGCCTCTTCTGCTTCTCTACGTTCTTTAGCCAGTTTCTCTGCTTCCTCCTGAGCTCGTTTTCTCTCCTGTTCCAGCTCCATAGCTCTGCGGGTCTGTTCTTCCAGTTCTAAAAGAATAGGGGAGCACATCTGAAGACAGAACAGCAGTAGGAGAGGAAGGTGCCCCCACACGTATGTTCTGGACGTGGGTTTTCCTTCAGAGGGGCAGGTAAAGGAAAAATGCAAGCAACTAGCCCCTTTCCTCTCCTTCGCAGCCTAACTGGAGCTGGAAGACTAAGAGCCAGGCCTGTTCCACACCAACAGATCACTTGCCTGATTGATTTGTGGGGAAGTACTCATCCCAAAATGACATCCTTAAAGGCAGAGAAGCATACAGCTTGGGCAAGACCACACTAACGCTGGCCAAGCAATTAGGTAGTAATCACACCAGAGTACTGGTTGGTGTGACCCCTGCTACACTGACTCCCTCTTCCACAGATGTGCTGGGATAAAGCTTCCAGCCAGCCCAGGAACAACTGCAAGGCACTCTCGCTGCCAGAGAGGCACCTTGGCTGCCACCCATCTCTTTCATGACAGTCCTATTTCTGCAGCTGCATATGGACGGCTTACAGTCAGCTTCAGAAGGCTAAACCAGGGCCCTAACACAATACCAGAGAGCCAAATGGCTCAGAGGTGCTCATAGCTTTACTACTTGAGCGCTTCTCAGTCAGACTGTGCACCTAAGGAAATACTGGAGCATTTCACGTTACCTTGCTGAGCTTTCTTGGTTTGCTCCTCAATTTGCTTGAGTCTTTCCATTAGCTCCTCCTTCTCACGTTCAATCTTCTCCTTCTCCTTTTCTGCCAACTCCCTCTTCTTCTTCTCATTCTCCAGCAGGGCTCTGACGAGGGAGAAGTCATAATGCAATACCAAATTAACAACTACTCAGATTGGAGCGCTCCCTAGCGAAGCCACGAGCACACACGAGATGTGGACTACAGCACTCAGCTTGATGAATGTTACTCCAGGTGTGCCCCTTTACAGAAGTGCAGAAAGAAAAAGCTCTGCTGGCATTCGTCTCAAAGGCAAGTTCATAACAGCAATGTTGTAAGGGAAATCTCCTTATATCAAGATCCGTATTAGTCCCATCAAACAGAGAGACAAATCTTTAACTGTAAGAAAGTGACAGCAGGTCACATTTCTGATGAGTGCCATTTCCATCACCCCGTTAGATTTACCGAAGCAGAAGGCAATCTGCTCTATTTTGGCTCAAGCAGATTAAGGTGCTGCCAGCAATTTATCTAGCACGTGATCCTACTGTGCAGTGATCAACCAAGTCCAGGTTATTCGGAACCCTACCAACCTCTCCATCTGTTTCTGATGCTTCTCTTCTCGAGCCTGCGCTTTCATCTGCTGCACCTCAATGGTATCTGGTTTACGCCTGCGCATGTAGAGCTCATGGTTCCCCATGCAAAGTGCCAAGATTCGTTTGTTAATCCGTAACCGAGGGGCATAGAATACAAAGTCCTTGGGACAAGAAAAAGGCAGCATTAGACCTGTTCTTTCAGCATAAGAAGCCCCCCGTGTATGCAATACGTTCCGAGACCCTAAGCTTTCTAGAATTGCCAGCCAGCTTTTCTTAATGGTGTCTAATTCGCAGTGGTGGTAGTTAGGTACCTATCTTTCAGGAATGAATTTCGACCTGATAAATACGCGCAGGGCAGACGTGCCCAACCGGTTGCTACAGTGTGCTGGGTTCCACTGTAAAGCGTCACTAGCATGGAGACACACAGCGACTTCGCCTCGCTGTTTCATTACAGACGCCATCAGGGCCTGGCTTACCAGGCACACGGAGACTACAACTTCTCCCACCTTTCTTCCCACTTCGTTATTTAATACAGTAGTTTGGCCAGCTACATCAAGTGTAGTGTTTTGTCTTACGCCAGAAAAGGGTGTTAAACATTAACTCCAATGGATAAGTAACATTTTGACAGACATTTGTTCTGTCAAAATGAAGCAACGGGATGGAAATGATTCCAAGCAGCAATGCAACAAGAATGACCAGAACAGAAGGTATCAGCTGACACATGAAGTTAATAAACCTTAAAGATAACCAATTACGCTCGTTATAAATTTGCAAGAAAAAAAAAAACCCTCCCAGCGTACCCTACAAAATGACCTGAAGCTTCAGCTTCAAATACGGTGAAAAACTGCAAGAGACGCTACTAAAGCCAACAAGCTGCGAAGAAGTATTCACGGTTCACAGAGGAGCCTCAGATCCCCAACCATACCATCAGAGAATCTGAACGGTCCTAGGAAGACCAGAAAACCCAACCAAAGAGCTTCTCCCATCCGCTGATTTTGAACAGCTTAAGGTTATTCTGAATAAATTGCTACCCTTCCAGCCAGAAACACATCCCAACTATCACCTTACTGCCATGAGACCCATTCTGTGCACACTGCCCTGAACAGATCAGGTAGTAGACAGAGCACTGCTTAACTCAGCACTGACATTATTGATGCAAAGACTGTGTGCAATTAAAAAAAAAAAAAAAAAAAGATCGTTTGGCTAAGAAGCCCAAAGTTTAATTTGCATATTCCTTCTTACTGGTGCTTTCTTGTCAATAGGCTTGATAACAAATTTCTTGTCATTGAATGAGATATTTCTGATCTCGCTCCAAGGGAATCCAATTTTCGGTGTTAGCCTGCAGAAATGGAAAGCAAAAGGGAATAAAGAAGCCTCAAGTCACTCCAGATTCTTGACTTGCAATATAAAGCTCAAAATTCTATCAAATCTGCCCTCATATTTCAGTACTTTTGCCTTGACTGGAATCAGCAAGCAAAATTAGTCATGCAAATGAACTACAAACATAAGGAGCTTTTCAATCCCACTTTTTTTTTTTTTTAATGGAAAACCGAACTGAAGAATGCATCTGTGGCAGGAAGACTAGGGATACAAGTAAAACCAGCTTGATAAGATATCCCATTTCTTGTATTTTTTGGCCCAAAGCAGTATGTTTTATAGGTCATTCTGGAAGCATCAAAACCACAGCTAAGAATGAGATAGGAATTGTAGAGTTCAGTTAAAGACTTGAATTCCAGGAAAGATTAATTTTCAATGCCTTTATACTGGAAAGGAGCTGCAGGCAATGATGAAGAGAGGGGGGTTATTACCTGTCATTCTGCTCATAAATGTTGAGTCCAAGAGCATCTACACCTAGCCAGAGTTCAGAGCCCTTCTTGTTCTTAATGCTGAAGTAGTTCACACCATACATTTCCAGATCCTGTGCAATTTTCAAGTACTCCAAGACAGCATCTTCTCTGCAGCACGCAAAAAGAAAACAGATATTCCTTTTTGAGTCACTAAGCCGTTAGAGCAAGAAGGTGCTGTCTTCCTACACAGGCAGAGCAGCAACAAGCTGGCAAAGGTTCCAAGCATCACCCTAGTAGATAACAACAAACTCTGCAAACTCAGTTTTGTTCTACCATGAACAGCCAGCTGATGCAGACTAGCAAGGGCAGAGGCGCACATGAACCTAGTTACTCTGGGCAGAATAACCTGAAGAACGCCAACTTATCCTGAAGCAAGCCACACGTTTTTGTATGCATTCATACATCGCACACTAGCACACATCACACCACTTTAAATACAGCAGTTTCACACTGCATCAGTTACCTAATCATTCCTCGATGTTCCTCATGCCACACCTGGATCCTCTCCTCCCATTGGTCCTTGTTAAGCTTGTGCTGCTCCAGAACTCTAGAAACAGTACATGGGATGTTTGAGACTAGCCACTGCATTTATGCACGCACATCACTCGAGTAACGCTTCACTAAATACTCCACTAAATACTCTAGAAACAGTACATGGGATGTTTGAGACTAGCCACTGCATTTATGCACGCACATCACTCGAGTAACGCTTCACTAAATACTCCACTGACATCACAGTTCCCCCACAAAAGTATTCCAGGAAACAGTTTTTTTGGAAGGCTAGAGACACACTGGTCAGCATTCAGACTTCTGACAAATGACGAGTTGCTTTCAGTCATGCCTCTCCTTGTAGCATTACAGGTTTGGGTTTTGGAGCTTTTCTCACTACTTCCAATTAGAGTTTCTTCAGCAGCAATAGGATGTTTAAGATTAAAGCTCTTACTTAAATGAATGCTAATCCAAATCCTCAGAGAGGCACCAGGCTATATTTTATTCTGAACATTCCAATCGAGGCACATTCTTCTCCCCCACCCCCACAAAAATCCCAAACCCTTTAAGGCAAAGAAGGTCTCAGACTACCCAGGTCCACTTACCTCTGTGGGAGCAGTTTGTCGCTAGCAAGGTAGCCAGACTTGTGCACCTCTTTATTGAAGTCTCCATATTTTGACTGGACGGCATAGGAAGCCAGAAGGACGGCTGTTTCTGGAGGGCAATAGATGTCATCATTCAGAATTGCCTCCTTCACTTGGAGGAAGAAAAGGCGCTGCGTGATGTCCTGGATCAGCTCTTCTGCCACATCCTCTGGGTAGAACTTGGCACGGAATTTGAAGAGCAGGGGACTTTCTTTGCGTACATCCTGTGCTGTTACCTGGAACAGAGTTACCAGACTTTATAGCCTACATAAAAGGGGAGCAGGTTTACAAACAGGAAGACAAGCATGCATTAGAAAAAAAAAAATTATTCTTTCCAAAGCAGAAGTGAATGGGCAGGAAAGCAAGGATTTTCAATTCTTTACTGCTAAATAATTCACCACCTCTCCCCATGGAGCTTATGACAAGCCACCAGTTAGGATCAGTGCTAGGTAAGTTAGTTTCCACATTTCTCTCCAAGCAAGATGCTCACATGAGCACCACCTTAGCGTGTTACTGGGAAGGCAACAGATCTGCCTGTATAAAAAAAAACAGGACTAGATGCAGGAGGACCAGGTCAGACAACATGACTTGGGGAGGGGGATGTGGACTGAAGGAAGGCAACACCAACTTGCTAATCTTGCAAGGTACTTCAGGTATGTGGAGAGGCAAGGACAGACCCCCAGTAGAAGTACGGAGACTGAATTTGCCCCTGCCACCCAAGAGAAGGGAATCCAGGAAAAGCAAAGCCTTGAGCAAACATACCTTTTTGTTCAATTTCAGCCATGTCGAGAAGCCCTTGGTGTCCTGATACTGAAGTCCAAAAAACCAGACCTCTCGTAGACCAATTGTCTTGACAACCTGGAAGACAGACGATTAGCAAAAGCCCCAGGCTGATCTTACTGGTGGCAGAGAGCACATCAGAAGTAAGTTCAGATGAACACGAAGACGACCAGTGCCCTAGCCTTCTGCCTCCCCTGCTATGGTGCACGTACGTAGATGATGGGGCACCTGAGGGGTCTTAAGGGGGAGATGTATTGTATTCTTTCCTCTCCCTCATCTCTTTAAAGCTTGTTACTACTTATAAAAAAAACAGTTGGGAAGCTATTTTCTTCAGCCACTCATAAGCCAACATGTACAGCCCAAATACGAGGCAGCAGGTCTGACAGGTGTAATAGCTGCCAGGAATCAAGCACACAGCTCCCTTATCAGGTACACCCCTCACTTACCATGCACATGTACTTACTCCTGGGCAAGCCATGACTCATCCTGCTAGTTTTCATCCTACTAGGCTGTGCTATTTTAAGATTTGTGTTCTACTCCACCGATAGCTGCGGACAGGCCTTTCATGCAGCTCTTTAATGAGTGGCACCATTAAGAGGTACTACAGTGTGTAAGTCAATATGCTGTCCCTTGTACCAGGACAAAGAGCCACCACAGAGATTAACTACACCGCTACGCGAGCTCTCCTCTTAGTCGCTTCCCTAGCACACCATGGGTGCTGTGTAAATAAGAGTCATGGAGGCTTCACAGACCTACTGTAACAAGAGACAGGAGCCTCATGGGGGGGCAAGACTACTGCAGCGTAATGCTGCTGCTGGTAAGGAGGGGCAATTTTCCTGGTGAAGCCTGTTCACTAGCACAAGGCTATGTGCCATGGCAAGTCTGGGACATGCCACAGGGTGCAGCAAGTCTAGAAGCTGAAGTTCCCCCACATCTCTCCTGAGCCCCCAGGAGTTGTTCTTGTACCGGCAAACACGGCACTCGCCTGTCGCCTCTGCCACTAGACAAGGAAGGGGGAGGGAGAAGGCGCTTGCCTTTAGGTCGACTGTACCTGAAGTACGGCACTGTGAGCTGCTTTTACACACTGCCCACCCTCAGGCTCTCTCACGGCTTCCCTCCTTCAGAGGGACTCAACAACTGGACAGGAGGGGATGAGCCTGGCCCTGGGAAAAGCAGCTGCCTGACCATGGCATCCCCCCGCCGGGTAAGCTGACGTACTTTTGTACTGCCTTGTCCCATGTTTTATGGTTTCACCCCGAATGCCTACTTCCTTTGAAATTACTTCCTTGTTGAATCCTAAGGATGCACTCTGTTCCTTCTGATGTGGTCTCTAGATCTGGCAAGACACAACACTAAGGACACAGGCTTCCCACCAACACATTACTAGTCAGATTCTTTAGGGCTTGGATCAGACATCTCTGGCCTTACAAAAGCAGCATGAGGGTCCTCATTCCCTTCAGGCCCAAAAACCAGAGGCAGGTTTCAGCAGAGGCATGCTATTAGCGGCACACAGAGAGACAAAACCATCACAAGGTCATGTACTCTATATACATCATCCCACTGGAGTCCATGAAATTATTTGGCCTGTCCTTGCTTGCATACAAACCAGAGAGCTGGCCTAAAGCCCACGTAAACAGAGGGGAATGTGGGACAGATAAACCTGCACTTGTGCATATCACGCGGTAGGACACACACGGCCAGGGAGACCATCGGGGTTTGCTGTATGCACTGAAAGCAGGAGGCACAAGGTGAGGAAGGCTGTCCTAGAGCCTAAGGAAAGCTCCATTCTCCGCAGCATTAACATCTGAATGGGATGGAAGCTTCCCTCCTCTGCTGCACGTCTGCTTGCCTCGCCCCCATTTGTCAGCCGCTTACGCCTGGCAATTCAACACACTGGACTGCCAGCAAGGAACTGAAAGGCATCACACTGAGGCCCTGCACAAAAGGACTTTTATTCCACAGCAGAAGCCTGCACAGCAATAGCAGTGACAACGACAACAGACTGGGCGGAGGAGAGGGGGCACACAACAGCGCACCCCCAATCCGGATCAAGTGGTGGAGGGGGGAAAGATAGTCCTGCTCCCTCCTTCCCACCTCAGCTTAGCAAGTTATTTAGTTCCATTTAGCAAGGGAAAAAGCATGACGAAGCTTTCTGCAGCTGCACGGAGTCTGGCTGGCAGTTAAGAGCTCAGTTGTGTTTGGGGTGTACAGCATTCAGAGCCCTGATGAACTGTGAGACGTTCCAAAAAGCAAAGCGTTACTGGCAGTGGCTGAGGATGGATAAGGGCTGGCACACAAGGCAGGAAAATACACAGAGTACTGTTTAACACAGACCACTATACTTAAATACCTAAAGTTTACACTCGGTTGGAAAGCAACATCTCTTCTTCATGCCTGGGAGAGCATTAAGTCAGTCCCTGGTCTTGTTGAGCCTGCAGTACGAGGCTCAGTCTACAGCCAGCAACAGATTGCTGGCAACAGATGACAGCAGCCCTAAAATCCAGCTGTCCCACAGCACCCTGCCCAGCCATGACAAAGCTCTCCATCGAGTGCCATTGGCCTAGAATTCCACTTCATAAGCAATACCAACACAGGGGAAAAGGTGCATTTCTAGTGACTCTCACATCACCTTCTGCAGACAGTAGTACAGTTTTTTTATTTATATTCAGAGAAGAAACAGAAGCCCTTCCAGGTAACCTCTTCTCTCACTTCTTACTCCACGTGTTCCAGGTCTGCATGACTCCTCCTCTTCCTCCCCGCAGCGCTCACCCTTCTCCCTCCCTATGTTCTTGCCACTGAGCGCTGCCCCACAGCAGAGGGAGAGCCATAAGCAGCCTCTTGAATGTAGATGATGATTGAAGATTGCCTTCATTCTCAGCCCAGGAAACACAGCACCACGCTGGCGAACAAGTGCAGATCCAGCATGAAAGCACTACCTACCCATGGGCAGGACCAAAGCACACAAAGAGAGGAGAGCACATTCCGCTCAAACCAAGTTCCTGCGCCAAAGGCCAAAGCACCCCAGGCTACAGCACAGCACAAGCCTGTCCTAATCTCACCTGCTGTCCTAGCTAAGGATGAAGTGGGCCTCTCTCCCTCCTTATGACAGGCACATCAAGTACTTCTGAGAGAAGACTGCTAGCAAACCTTGTTGCTGGAGGAGCTCTGAGGTGGTGCCACACCCGCCATAGCCAAAAACGACTTAGAACATGGTCTTCCAGATACCCTAACTTAACACCCAAGATAGTCTCCATCTACAGCCATAAATACTCAGCTGTTCCCTTTCCATTTGGCTGATGGGTATGTTTATAACTTTCCTTTTCCAAGTGCTAAAATGCTGAAGTGCTAAATGACAGGATCTCCTTTGACTTTTTAAGCTCATTATAGTTTGCCATTGACCACCCTCGCAACAAGCAGCTCATTTTTGGTTGGGCTACTGCTTTTACGAAAGCCAGTAAGTTTCCACGTGTTCCTGTGAAATTTGAGACGCATTTCCATACCACTCAACCACAAGCCTTCATTACACAAACAAGAGTTCTGGGGTTTGCTGGAAGAACCAGCCGCTGTCCTGAGACTTGCTGCTTTCTGCCATGAAACTGCTGTAGTAAGTTTTTGGTTCAGTGCTTTCATCTGCCGGATCAAGTGCTCCAGACTGGTATTCTACGTATTTAAACACTACTAAGTAGGACCTTACCAAGGCTGAAGGCTTCTCTACAGTCTCCTTCCTCACAAAGCTTAGTTTACAGGCCAAGAGAGGCCAGCCACTTTTATTCCAAACACAGCCCAACTCAGCTGGAGTTATGCAAAAGTCAAGAGGGATTTGGACAGCCTGTGTTATAAACTTCAGCATCCATGAAAGACGTAAGACGCTGGTCCTCTGCAAAACCATTAAACTCACTGCAGCAGATAAGCAAGCCAGGACAGGGCACGTGAACTCAGAACCTCAGGAGCTCTGGCTCTTTATGAAGGCTGTAGGATCCTTAAGAATTAAAAAGAAAAAAATTAAAAGATATGCCCATGCCCCACTACATACTAGGTTCAACACCGAACACAAAATACAGCACCAGTGACTAGGTTTAGAGCAAGCAGACAGATGCTTATGGTTACAGTTTTAGCCCATAGCTGAGTGCACTTTTCTATTCTATTACAAGCTTAGTTTTGACATCAAAAGCTCACAAAACATGAAAAGCCTCCTAGGAAAGTTAACCACATTCTTTCAATGTCTGAAGTGACAGACATCGATGTTTTTTCTAATGTCACATTTCTCCTTAACCTGTGACTTGGCTTCATGGCTCTTAATTGGACAGAGATCACCTTTAATGAGACCGGGTGCTTTTGGTACTCTAAAGGCCAATTCTGGGGTGGCATGCTGAAGCCACCACCTGCTGGACTTTGCAATGTCCAAAAGCTGGCATCAGAAGGACTGCAGCTTACATGGTCAGCTATAGGCTCAGAGAGCACAAAGCACATCACTGAGAAGCAAATTTGCTGTGAAGCGGGAGAAAGAGTTTTCATTTTAGGTTGGGGAAGGAAGTACTGACTGAACAGTTCAGTAACCACAACTCATTGTTAAAAAGATCCTGATGTAAGGCCTAGCAAAGGGGTAGAGATCCCCAGCCATCGACTGCATTCGCCACCCAACAGGCCCAGTACAGCAGACAGCGAAGGACTCCTCTGCCAGAGACCAGGACTAAGGGGCTCTGAAGGGGCACGAAAGGCGGCAGCACCAGCAGGATCCAAGGTCAGAAGTGATCACAAACAAAAGCATTTGAGAAGCTGCCTCATCACATGTGAGGGACGTGGAAGAAGGGAGTATGTTTTCATACTGCAGAAGTCAAAGCAGTTGAGGATTTTGTGGCTCGTCTGCATGCAGGTGGCCCGAGGAGCCCACGCGATGCTGTGTCCACTGAACCAGGGCACTTCTGTGGGAGCTTCCCAGCCAGCCCGCTGTGGAGCACTCAGGCAAGCAAGTTAGTTAGCTCCCTCCCCATCCAAGGTACAGGCTAGCCTTGCCCCCCCAACCGGCCAAAATCTAACTGACTCGAGATAGAATCAATTCGCCCCCCAGAGAGAGAGAGAGAGAGAGAGAGAGAGAGAGAGGAAAACAGATTGGAGGGACACAACTTCAAAGCTTTCCACGGCAACAAGTAGGTAAGCCGTTCCACCAGAGGAGTTAATCTTTCATCAGGAGATGTACAAAGAGAAGCAACGCTTTGTTTTACACACAGGTCGCCAGTCCAGCACACTCCAGCCCGATACAGAAAAGGGTCAAAGCAGGAACACAGGCAGTTGTCACTGTCGCCGTGCCTGTGCCCTGCACCCCCAGGAAAGCAGCGCTGCAAGGCGCCTGGGAAGGAATCAGCCCCATGGGATGAGCAGCACCCGGAGAGGCGCAGCCCAGGCCTCAAGCTCCTCTTGGAGCCCAGCACTAGCAGCTGAGGAATGGGAGCAGTTACTGGTTCTGCCAGCAAGCACTGGTGTTCAGCAGCTGATGCCAAGAGGCACATGAGCAAAGCTGCAGGAGACAGATAGTACAGCCCTCCCGCCTCAGTTAATCCAGGTTTTGTCCATGCACACAAGCTTAAGCTATTTAAGCTAAAGCTGTACGGTTACAAGCCTAGGAGATGGGGTGTTACAGAAGGAACTCTAGTATAAATCGTGATACTGCACTGTGTATCAGCTCAATGATATTTCTACAGCCAGCTACTCTGCGGCAGCAGACAATCTCCAACAAAGCAGTGAAGCACCTGCACTGTTCTATCCCTACAAAAATTCACTTTGGAATTTAACCAAGCAGGAAGGAGGGGAGAGAGGGACATTTCTACCTCGAGCCCATTCAGCCATTATTACTATAGAACTTCAGACTCAAGCTGTTCCTCCTCATGAAGCTACTACCTAGACACAAGCTTTCCAAAAGTCTTCTGAATCCTATTCAGAGTAGGTCAGAATTGTGTGTGGCATATATTAATATATTTTCCTACCTTTATACCCAACAGTTGGAGGCAAATACCGCCTAAATGTTACTGAACGAAGCCAGCAGCACGCGCCGAGGCAGCTGTACAGCTAGAAACCTTGGTAATGCTTAGCAGCGTATTTTTTGCTTAACTCAGAACTGACAGCTCAAAGTGAAAGGGCACTCTAGGGCAAAAACATGCAGAATATCTTAAAATTTTTCTGTGAAAGAGTCAAAGTCAGGTGTCACACCAGAAGGTCAATGTGCTGCAACAGCAAAACTTTGTTTGCTTTGCAGAGGAACCCTCCCTTCCCTCAAAAAAAAGCATTAATGAAAGCAGATCCTTTTTAGAACATTGTGCAGGAAATACTAGATTAGCAGTTCCAGGAGCACCACATAGTTTAACGGAGTAGAAAATGAACAGCCGTAACTTTGCTCTCAGACACCCCGTCACGGGACCCAAGACCACCTCAGCACAGAAACTGAGATGGAGCAAACAGATTATCAGTGCGACAGCAGTCGCCGCATAGTCTCTGTTGGCAGCGTCAGCAGGGAGAACAGCCCCGGACTATCCCTTTACAGGAACTAACCCACACAGACAGCTCAGCCATTGTGAAACACGCTGGCTATGTGCCAGCTGACCATACATTCACAGCCCCATCCCCAGACTAAAGGGAGCACGTTCAGTATTTACGGTCAGCTCACTAGAGGCTCTCACGCTTTGGTTTGGTGTTCAGTTAGTTCTTCACGCAAAGATCAATAACCTGTTTGAGCATGTGCGTATATAAGAAGTCCTTGCTTTCTTTTATGTGCAAGTCTGACTATAAAGGCTCTTTTGCAATAGAAGTGAGCCTTGAATTTTCCATTTAAAAAAAAAAACTTTAAAAAATAGATGGACAGACAGCAGTCTGTTGTATATCTGCATTCAGAGACCAAGATGAAACATTTCCCATTGTGGCAGGAGCTGAATAGCTACCTCCTTTGCAATTAGCTTCCTTAATTGTGAAGGGCCAATAATTAGATTGGAGGGCAGCAACAGAAGCTGGGATTAGGCTCCGCAACCACTCACCTAGCGGTAGCCTCCAAAACTCCTTATTCATACTAGAGGCAGAAGACTTTTGACATCCCCACATCCACTGCCAACGCCCTGCTTTACTGCTCCCAACACTCTCAAGCCCTGGCAGAGGGTCCATCTTTCCACCACCGTCACTGCGGTGGTACCCACCCAGCGCTGCTGTGCTACGCCTTCCACTAACCACATCGTCAAAGCCTGGACATCTGGCACTGGTGAGGCTCTAGGACATTCATTTCAGTATCAGCCCCATCAGGAATCAACATCACTGCCTCCACAAGGAAGTCTTGTGTGCCAGGCAATAGAAAACAGTTTAATTCTTATTCCAGTGAGTGTGATTATAACATAGACAGTATAAAGATGTCATCCCCCAGACCTGTTAGAAATAGAAAATGTTAAACAGCTTGCTTCAGATGCTTTTTCTCCCCACTGTATTTCCTCTTCCAATGCCACCTGCAATCCAATTTAGCCAAGGTAAACACTGCCTCATTTACATTAACAACTTAGAAACTTAGTTCTGCAACAGTATTTGTTTTCTCCCTTTGCAAAGTGTTTACTATGGAAAAACAAAACAAAGCTTCAGTTTGGGCAGGTGCTGTGTGAAATGCTGCAGGGAGGAGAACACACGGCTGCTGGAGAACGTGACACAAAGGAGTGAAATCCATTACCAAGACATGAAGAGTTCCCATACTGGAAACACGATCAGGTGCTTCTCAAACAGGGATAAGCTGCTGAAGCCCAGGTCTGCCACCACAACACCGTTTTGCAGCAAAACCTGCGGATGGTCTAGAGCTGACTGAAAAAATCATGTGCAGGTGAAAAATGCAACTGACTTCAGCAGTATTGCTTCTTAAGCACCTGGTCCTTTGCTTGGATAATGTCAGAAACCAGATAAAATAATCACGGGAAGCATCCACACGAAGAACACCTCCTCCAAAAAAACTGTTCACCTTTTGATGAACTTGGGGGCACGTCACCTCAGCTCCACGGGCACATGCTCCCATGAACTAACTGCAGTGGAGTTCCATGTTGCACACACGGACTCTGCACAGATTTCAGCTCTCCCTTCTGTCAGTCAAAAACTGTCAAAGTTGAGACCAGACAGGGCTAAAATACGTAGCAGTGACTATGTAGTGAGAATGACAGTGCAACTCAGGACCTTCCCGAGAGCCTTTCTGCTCTTCCCATTATGAAAGGATGCTCTTTCAGCAACGTCTAGGATCTCACTCTATTCCCACCATTTCAGGGCTGGGCTGCATGGAGCAATATAATATCTAGGGTTGAATCATCCAGCTGAATATGAGAGAAAGTAGCAGTTTGTGGTTAAACATCTAAAAAAAAAATAGATTTAAGTTAGGCTTGCTGGCCCCAAACAAAACAGCTGACTTCCATGGGTGGGTCAACTCTTAAGTTTCCCTCTTTATTAAGATAGGTACCATGTAGAGCTGGCCCCAGAACGCTTAGCGCTACTGAACCACACCCGTGTCTGACACATCTGGTCTGGCAGCTCCTTCACCTTGTCATTAATCCAAGATTCATTTTACTTTTCTTTAAGCCATGAACTTACTGTTCAGATTTTCCTCCAAACCCATGGCTTTCAGCATTACAGTAGAGAAACATAGTGGTGCCTGTCAAAGTTTTGACCACTGCAGTTGATAATGTCTGTCTCCAGCTGCTCCAACTTTGGGCTGCACATGCCTCCCTGCTTCTATTTGGACCAAAGTAGGAGGAAATTTGCCCAGCCAGTGAATGCAGAGGAAGGCTGAAGCACCCAGGTGAGGACAGCCCAATACAGTGCAGTATATAACTTCTCTTAAGATTCTCCTCAGGGCCTGATAGGCATATAGAGTATCACTTCACCTGCACATAGGGCTGCAGCAACATTTGAAACCCAGATAAGCCTCTCCTGTTTTAGAAACAACCACTCTTGAAATCAGTTACACAATGCTGGCAAGTAAGCCAAAGATAGCTTACTAGCTCCCTCATAAGACTTTTCTTACCTTATGAATTATGACTGCAGACATCTACTACTTCCCAATTATTACTATTATGAGCTAGAGCAATTCAGTTCATTGGAGGTAAGAATGGCTCCTAACACATTCTTGGAGATAAAAAAATGCAATCATTTTGAAAAAACATATAATTTCTTACTATGCTGAGTTCTCTTGAAGTTATTATATACTCTGTCACTTAATCTTTGAAGTCTTTTAGAAATTGTTTGCTGTTGGCTTAACAGAATCACAACATCTGTATCAACTTCAGATCTCCCGCAGCTCCATCACTTACCTGATCAAAGAGTTGCTTCCCTGTAGTGTTGGGCTGGATGGCAAACTCCAGCTCAGCATCCATGGTGGTAACACGCACGCTGATCTGGAAGACAGAAAATGCATCATTACCAGACATGCTTCAAGTGACACTACCCGGTAACAAAAACCAACGCCTGCCTACAGCCAGGGACCAGCTCCCAAGCCTCCAGGAACTTCACTGCAGTTAAAGTCATCTGCCCTGGCAGCATGGTGTTCCCAGTTTCCCTGTAGAATAGAACCTTCCTGTTTCACAGTGTAAGAGCTTACCCTCTCTGTTCCTACTAATATTCTCATCTATACGTTGACACGTGAGAGCCATTTACAGCTTGTGAAGTTGAATTTCTACTGTAGAACATTCTGGTGTCTTTCACAAAAGCAGCGATGTTCCAAATGTCGGTACTCATAACCAGACACCCAACCCTTCCATTACAAGGACAAATGTCAAGGAAGTCCCTGGAAGCATTAACAACTCAACCTGCTACAGAAGACTATTCAACACCAAGGATGCTGTTGCAGTCTCCGTGGGTATTTGGAGGACTTACAAGGCACAATCCCTGATATGCTGCTCCAAGGGCTGTGGGTACGAAGCAGACGGGATGCAAGGATGACCTCGTGCTAAGGCAAAAAGGACATAGGCTGAACTAACACAATCACTACTACATGCAGACACTTCTCAAAGCAGTGGAAGTGTCTCTATATAGTTGCCTACTGCTTTCAAATTCTTTCAGAGGTGAAAGATTGCAGAAACGGTTTAGGTGTAAGTTAACATTGAAGTCAAGATTTCATGACAGTATCGGCCTTAGACGTAAGAACAAAGGTCACGAATGGTCTTCCAGAAGCAGCATTATATGGTGCACTTTATCTCAACAGGGGAGTCCCGCCATCATGTTTTCACCTGTGAAGTGAAAGTGGCAAGGGATTGCAGCAAGGGAGTTTGCAGTTTCATCCCACAGAAGCAGGAAGACATCTGTACATCTTCCACCAACAGTTCTCACGAAGGAAGTTAAACAGCAGAGGCATTTCACCTCAAAGGTCAGTGTAAAACATAGCCAATTCCATTCACAACTCCTGACCGTTACTGGAAAACATCACGTAGATTCCTAGGAGTAGATTTAGACATTACTGGAGCAAAGATATCATGAACAAGCAGACCAGGAATAAGTTGGTTTTGAAACCCTCTGAGCCCTCTGGTACAATGAAGTCAAACTGAGGAAAGACATCCCATAGAAGTAGCAAGAAAAGAGCAAATGACCTAAATTCATAAGCCATCAAGGTTTGTTTAAAATTAGCATCTTTCAATAGCACACAGTTGCGTTAACTTGCTATACCTTCCCAAAATAATTCTCTGCAGATCCCAGATCTTGACAACTGGTGAATTTCACAGTGCTTCGGTGAACCAGGAATCCAGTCACTTGCTAGAAGGGCTGAACACTCCCAAAACCAGCTTTGCTCCTTACACTTGGAAGCAGTCTCTTCTCCCAGAAGGAGCGCTGCCTTGTAAGTCTGACTTGCCCAGCACACCTACCAGTGAGAGCAAGGACGTCCGCAAGCCATGTCTAAGTATAAGAGGGTTTGTATTAAATGAGCCACTAAGTAACAGGTTGCTTTTTGTTTGTTTTGAGGTCTTTCCTGTTCACCTAAAGCACTAATGTACCAGCTACCATGAAAGAAAAAACAGTCTTTTTGCTCCACTGTTTATGGATAAAACACAGTAGCTGCTCTTACCCGATACCATCTGTATACGTGATTGAACGCTGAAGTATCTGAGCACAGGGGAAACACCAGAAAACAGAACTGAAACAGTTGTGGCAGCTCTATGCAACCCACGCCTGAACAGCCTTTAAGCTCTTCAGAGCAAATCGGACCTTAACATTTGAAATAAAGCTGCTTATTCAAGTATCCTCACAATTCATGCACAATACTTATTTGTAAGGCTCACATCTTCATTAGCACAGTAAAATAAGGTCCCATGCTGGAACCAGCAAAATTCCTTCACTGTCACTGACTTAAAACGCCCTTATGCCATATGACCAGTTACCATCCTGCAATTAGTACATTCAATAGCAAGAGAGACACTTTTTCCCCCCCTAGTAGAAGCCCCCTGTGCTCGAGATGAGTAGCAACCTAAGGTTTAGGAGCAGCAGAGTCTTGAATGGGGTCTGCACTTGCAACTTCAGCCTACGCTATTTTGGAAGACAGCATGAGCTAAGATAGCACAGGAAATAGGCTTGTGCTGTGGAGAACCACACCCCGGTAACGCTGGCTTCCCTCATCTGAGCAGAGTTTTAACACACTCAGTCGCGTAGTGCTGTTAACTGTCAGTGGACTGTGCGGGGGAAAGCACGTCCTGGGCTGCACCCGTGACATTTTAACCACTGGTTTCATAGTAATTTAATACTTGGCTGAGAAATTAGTTTGCTGTAAAACTGAGCTTTGTTAAGCTTCATTGGTGTGGAAACAATATACAAAGAATTTTTCCCCATATGCTACCACGCTAGGGTTTGTTGGGGGGGTGGTGGTGGTGTTTTGTTTTTTGGTGTGGGGTGGTTTTTTGGTCAGTTGTTGTGAACTGGAAAAACAAAGTGAGGTTTCTGCCGTTCCAGGTGGTGGGAGGCACTGCTTTCCATCCCCAGTTAGCAGATGAGAGGCCTGACAATACTTCAGAGCAGATGCAGCTTTACCGAGTGTTTTCTTTCAAGAGCCTGTCTACTGGCACGGAAATACAAATCTACTCCCCTAGCATGTAAAAAGGCTCAAAACCCAAGCACCATGGGAGCTTCCTTCCAGAAGACACCCAGGGGCCACCTCGCTCTTGGCAAGTCAGTTTGGCTGATCTTGATGCCCTCTACCTGCAGCTCGAACTACGAGAAGAGATCTACCGACCGCCGTAATCTCCGCCTGACAAGTGCCAGGCACTGCACGCTTACCTTCATCCTCCTCATTCGTTTGAGGTCTGACTTTCCGTAAGCCCACTTTACTGAGGCATTCACAGCCGAGTACTGCCCAACACAGATGTTACACAAGGGTTACACAACAGAAGTGCTACACCAGAAGAAAGCCAGTGTGATCCAGTCCCATCAGAATTTAGACTCTCATTTGCCTTGTACCTTGAGAATTACCCTGCCAAAGCACTTTTAAACCATTTATCTAGTTTACCGTCAATGCTTATTCTAAGAAAAGCCTCAAGATTCATTAGCTTTAAGCTCTTACACTTTGTATTTCTAAACAATCTAATGAGATTTTCCTAGGTTTGAGGACTGGCATAACCATCAGCATGCTTACTATTTGGCTTGCAAACAGAACAAAACGCTCCTCGGTAAGATACCAAGTAGGACTGCTGAGCATATGCAACTCTAGCTCTGTCGGTCCAGACAGGCAAGGTGTACACTGCCAAGGTGTCAGGAATAGGAGTAAACACAGTGAGAAGGAGACATTGCCCACTAACAATCAGACCACAAGGTCCACAGGGGGAGCACTCATCCCCAAGCACACCACACCCCTTTCCAAAATCTGTTGTTCATAAACTTTTGTCTTAAACGTCCAACACTCCGGAGGTGTTTTTAGAGGACTTGCTGGATTTCATCATTAGATTTACCAAAACCACTATCCTAATGCAGTGATTTATACTCAAATTCAATTTAAAGCAACTCATTGAAATTTTTTTCATCATAGCATTTATAATGCACTCACTGCTGCATCTAGGTGTCTGCAACCTTCTAAATTCTGCTTAGATCTTAAACTAGCAGCAGTTTTACCCTAGTAGATGGCCTCTAAATAGCCTTCTTTGTCTTTCCATCATCATTTAGTAATATTTTGCATACAAACAGCTAGCAGCATTATATGAAAAGTTTCCAGAGGCAGCAGTCTTGCACATTACAAGAAAATTTGAGTATCGCATTTCAACAGGCAAATTTACACTGACCAAGCTAAGAAATACTCAAGAAGAAAGGCCATATTTAACTGATTCATTTCGTAACAGCTACAGGAAAGAGCTAGAAACCTAGCAACTCTTCCTCTTCTCTATTTGAGGAATTACCATTGTTCTACCAGTCTAAGCACAGCTAAGGACCGCCACTACCAGAACATATTAAAGAGCTTCCTGCTGCCAAGGACAGTGCTGTGGTAGGGGCGAGACCTCCAGCAGACAGAACCCCTTGCATGGACGAAGCACTGTTCCGGCCCCCAGAGCAGCTGCAGCCAAATAAAGCTCCTTTTGATAGGCAAAAGCTTTCAGAAGCTACAGGACACCACCCCCCTCCTCCCATGGTGTCTAGCAGGCTACAGGAGACAGACTTAATCAACACTGGTACCAGGCACCTATCTGCAACACCTTTTCAGAAATTTTAACATTGCCTTCAGGTCTCACTTTCTGCCCCACTGAGGTTCCCAGAAAGCTTCACTAACAGCAATGGCTATCAACAGTCATCTTCCAGGTCTCTGAGCGAGCCCTACTAATAACCTGCTGTAACTACTTCCTACGATGAAAATTTGTACCTGCATATGGTGAGACAAACAGGAAAGACCGATACCGTCATGCTAAGTAACGGATGCATTACTTGTACTGCTGCCCCAGCGCGTCGAGCAGTGCAGGAGGTAGAACAGACAATTCCGTTTGTCGTAAGTTGAGACAGGAACAGAGTACTAGGAAATTCATGTCAGAATAATAGGTAGAGTCAGCACAACAGGGTGGCAACCTCCACAAAACCCTGACCCTGAGCTAAAGCCTCTTTCCTCCCTGGATTTCCTGAATGCAAGGAAGCTGTTATACCCTGCTGGCCTGTGGGCTTCAAGCTTCAGATATTCATGCTTGCCAGGTTCAAGCCACCAAGTGGACTATTTCTGGAGAAAATGGCATAGGGAAAAGTCATACTTTACTGCTCATTTGACTGTTACAGAACAGAAGTAAGTTCAGTTAAACAGAAATTCCAGGCCATCCTTTATACACCCTCTACACTATATGGCACCAGTTCACCCGGCAGTTCTGCAGGTGAAGATGCTAGATACTAGACCATGCATCAGTTCCAACAGCTCTGGCCAGAGAAGCACATCAAATCCAGCTGGAGGTGCACGAACTCTGAACTCAGGATCTCGTAAGGCACCCTAATAATCTAAAGACCTTCCCAGTTCTGGCTTTCAGCAAGATTAGCAACAGAACAGTAAGTGTAACGAGAATTATTCCCCCCGTCCCTTAAAGCACGCAAGTGTTTCTGGAGGACAAGTGCTCCCCAGGGCTGTACTTCACTTCCCACGACGCTGGCCAGCCAGCCCGGGCCCCGCTGTGAGGACAGGAGTTGCACGCTGACCTGCAGAGTGTACCAGGGTACCGTGCTTTGCTCGGCCTCGGAGGAGCGTCAGAGGTAATGCCCCCCCACCCGCAGCACCAGCAATACTCACAGACATCGGGCTCCTTCCCGAGAGCCAGCACTCTGCTGAAACAGCCCTGGGTCCTCTGTGTCAGGGTGAGGCTGGAAGGGTCATGTGCAAGTGCTTGCAATTTCTAAACGGCTTACAGTTAATTAAACCAAGCCCCCTTCCAACAATCTTAAAGGGCCTTTTCATACCCCTAAGCTCATCAGGGAACAGAACAGCAGCAGGCACACCCCAAGCACCAGCCCCGGCCCTGCCACACTGCTGCCCCCATGGAGAGCATTAGCCTTCCCAATGGCTCCTTGCCGCTCCACAGCCCTCTCCCAGCCCTCCTCCACGCTCAGCTGGGGACATGGCTCTCCTTGCTTGACTGGAGCCACAGGGGGGCCAATAAGGCCAAGGAACACACCACCCCACAAGGACAATCTGAATAAAGTCACCAAATTACAGTGGAGGAGGAAGCTTGCCCACCTTTGACGCACTCAGTACCAGTGAGCCAGAACTACAACTTACGTGCTATAGAGCATGTGCTGTAACATCACCCTTGCAGGCACCAACTATGTCTTGGCTTTGTACCGGTACCCAACTACAGCCTGTAGCAGGAACTCACCCACCAAAGAATCCCTAGCGATTTTAGTGCAGAGCCTGAAGGCAAAGAGCTGATGTTACAGAAAAACTGAGCTTCTTCGCACACACATATTTTAGTCATCTTATGCTAAGACTAAAAACAGACACAAGCAAAGATCATTATCTGAAAACGCTTTAGCAGATATGAGACACCCTCACAATTGTTGCAAGAGGAAAAAAAAAAATTGCACTTTCCCCACCCATCCCCGGTTCTCTTTGCACATTTGACAGCACAGCATCTGAGCTCATTTTGCAGAAGTAGTTGTCAGTTACTCACAGTTGGGGCTATTTTTAATGTCATTTCCGACAAAGCCAGACAGATACCAAGTTGACTGTACCTTCAGCAATATACGAGTTATAAACGCATCTCAACTGTCTGCACCTGCTATACGTTAGGACAGTCAACAGGCTTCTCTGCAAGCAGCGACATAAGGAACACAGGCTTGCATACTCCAGTCTCAAACAGTGGTTGAGCCCACGAACTGAGTTCAGCTTGGCAGCGACATTAAGAACCTTAGTCTGGAAGCACAGAAAGAAGCTCCACTTACTAGCTTCAGTAACAAATATTTTTTCTGCCCTGTTCCCTTATCCCCACCCCCCACCCTCCCCTTGCAGAACGACAGAGGAGATCATACATCTGGTATGCTATAAAACACACATCACTGGCTCCAGACCAAAACCACGAGGCAGCATCCTCCAGATTCCACTGGGAAGTACACATTGCTGCTGACTGACCTAGAGATCACAAATGTGATCCAAGACCTCACGCTCAGTTCATAACCACTGGATTTATGGGCAGACCCCTATAGCCACATATGCAATATACTGCTTTACCCTAAGAATACCACAGGTATTAACATGTTTGCTTAAAAAAAAAAAAAAAACAAAAAACAACCCACACACCCAAAACACACCCACACAACAAACTTCCTTCATTTAAAATCAAGTGGCAGATAGGGTTGAGCAGCGCCCCATCAATAAAATCTCACACTTGGGTCAGCATTTGAACGAAAAATGATAAAAGAGCAAATAACTTGAGCTGCAGCATGTTTATCATATATGGGCAAGCTGGCTGAATGACAAACTAAAGAGAAGCTGGGAGAAGGCACCATCATCCGACATTCCAGAAGGACAGACAGTTCTGTTGGCCCCGGTGCCCTCTGAAGCCGTGGGAGGTGTCGAGCTGTGCCTGCCCCGCTGCAGAGCGACTTCACTGCACAGCTCTGTCCCCACACGAGCACCAGCAAGCCCAGTCAGGGAAGCAATCGGGCTGAATCCGACAGATTTGTGCACACGTGGCCTTACTCCTTCCCTGAGAAGCACCAGAGCAGGCAGCCAGCCCAGACTCAGAAACCACTGCGGGGCCACACCTAACAAAGTCAACCTCCACTGCAGCCCCCACTGGTCGCTCTTGGTCCCCCGCAAGGCAAGATGGCCCACGCAGGCAGCAAGCAGCAGCTTTCACACAGCTTCGGGAGCCAGGCCGTCGAGGACAGCAAGAGGAGAAGGCTGCCACAGGAAGCGAGCCACAGCAACAGCGGGCACGGCTGAGAAAGTCGACAGCTTTGAAGAGCCCGCGTGCAGAAACTGTGCCGAGATGGAGCGGAGGAGGCAGTGCCTGAGCTGCAGGAAGCCAGGCAAGCCCAGCGACACAAGCGTGTATCTGGCACCCACTGCAGCAGGGACACCGAGGGGTCTGCCAGTGCAGAAAGCACTCTGCCCGCAGCCCCCGGCAAAACTCACCGCCATAGCGCTGATTTACTAACACAGGGAGGGGGGAAGCTGGTCACAGCATGTTGGCCATTGAAAAGCAAGGCTGCAGGTTACCCACTCTTCTAGGTGACTAACATGGAAGTCCCATGTGGGCTTGGAAGAACAGAGAATTCTAATAAAATATAAATCCATATAAACCCTGTCATGCTGAAGTCTCAGAGCCCCAAATACACATTTGGCTGTTAACACAAGAGACTATTTTGAGATTAATTTGCAATGCTCATCGGTAATAAGGAAAATAAAATTCTTCCATGCAGCCAGTGGTAAACAGGAATGTTCCTGTGGAAAAAAAAATTTTCTTGAAGCCACTTGCTGCCATTGAAAAAGGTGATGCCTACAGAGCAGAGCAACACAAGAGCGTTCTGTGGCTTTTCTGGTTCTCAAGACCAAGCATAAAAAGCCACAACGACCTAGGTGTTGAAATCTCCCTTTGCAGCTGATCCGTACCTGCTATTCAGAGGGGCCTAAGGACAGGGCAGCTAAGTGGAGCCTGAGGGGATCCTCCGTGCAGGATGGGTCCATCAGACCAGAGATCAGTTACTCTGATCTAGTATAGGAGCCTACTTCAGGCACCCTTAATATAAACCAGGGCTTCTTTTTTTCCCCTAGAGTGGTGGAGAATCAGCTTTATTACCCCCAAGGAGAGTTGGTTAAAAAAATGAGGTCTCCTTCAAACCACATTCAGAGCTCCCAAGAAAGCTTCAGAAAAGCCCATCCCTTATGCAAAGGGGCTGACACTTGCAATTGCCATACTTCAGAGGCCTTCACCCACCCACCCTGCCCCAACTCTTGTCGCACAATCATTGTTTCGAAGGTCCAGAGCCATCGTCTTCTATTAGCACTAGCAAGCACACCCGAGTAGTGCAAGAAAGCAGAGCCATGCAAAGCCGGGGCTATGCCCATGCGTCTTAATAGGTTGGAGAACTCAGCATTTTAGAACTCTGGAAGCATCACTTGCCCACCTTAATCAGTGATCTAATCTGGGCAGGCAACTTTTTCAGGAATAAAAGTTCTACTTTATAAGAAGATTACTACAAAATTATTCATTCAAAACAATATATATATATATATATGTATAAAAAGACAGGGAATTCCCCTACCCGCTACACAGCATGGCTTCCAAAATCATTAATGACGTGTTTCCAAATTAAAGCTGCTTGAATATAATTCTTTCCTTTTCAACCAAGCAGACCGTAAGCAGTCACATCCTACCAGCGATGTTGCAACACCAGGGCTCCTAACAGCCTGCCACCCCGTCCAGAGGGCAAACAAGTTTGACCAAAGGGGTTGCAAGATGAGAGTACTAAGCCAGTAAAAGCAGCCATGGGTAGATCCCCAAATTTACAGTCAAGTCCAGATACTTGTATGCCACTTATTATGCAACTTACTCACAACCTTGTGCAATGGATCAATTCCTCTATTTTTGCCATTTCCTTTCTCATAAATAAATTACTCATGCACCTCCCATTGCTTTCCTGTAGCTGTTCCAAGCCATTAACTTTGCCGTTCGCTATTTCTTTAGAGCTAGTTTGAAGAGGCCCTTAGAGTAACTATTTTTGTACCTGTTGTTTGAGCTACTTGGAGGGAACATCCTTTACTAGTCAAAACCCAGAAGGAGATAAAAAAAAAAAATTACGGGGAAAAACCCTGACCCCTTTTCCATAACATCTGGATCAGGAGGTAAAACTGAAAGCGAAATCTAGCCATATGCACTTGCCATCACTCAGCTTCCACACTCCAGGTAGCTTTGGGGTTTGTTCTGGGGTTTTTTGTTTGTGAACACACATTTGCTTGTGCCTATTAGAAGGTGCTATTCTCTGGAGAAATAGTATACGCCCATTATGGCTTCAGAACCCTAACAGCAGGGTTGGCAGTGGTACTTAACCACATCCCCAGCTAAGGTTCTTCAACTTAGAGGCAGTCAGCAGGACAGTGGGCATGTTTGAAGTGCCAGCAGCAGCACAGGCACCATTCCTCCCAGCTGTTGTGTGCCCCTCCTAGGCAATTCCAGTCACAGGTTACAAACAAGTATTTTGTGCCCGCCCCCCCCCAATTGTACACCACACTCTGGTGTTGTGATCCTGGCTTCTCCTGCAGTAACTTAACCAGTAAAACAGTTCCAACGCTCCCCACCACCACTGGAAGCATTTCAGATTTTCTAAGACGACTCAAGAGGGCAGCTTTCCCCCAGCCCTAAACTTGCCTTAGTCCAGTTCTTCCCTCTCAAGCTCCATTCCAAAGGCAGGGGATTTCCCAGCACTGTTGGGCAGCTGCAAAGACCCAGTTCAAGGGGTTAGGCAGATGAGCCTGGTAGCCATGACACATCCCCAGACAGCCCATAAGGTTTGCAAACTTAGCATCCAGTGGATGTCTGCCAAAAATTACAAGCAGTTACTTTGCTGGAAGGGGCTCAAAACAAGATCAAGAGAGGATGCTAACAAGACAAGTGTGAGCCGCATAGAGGCACCACGTGTAGAGTAAGCACCTGAGGTTCATGAGCTGATAGACTAAATACCCATTCCCTATGGAGAGGTCTCTGAAGTCACCTGCAGTTAGGAATTGTTTCAGAGGTAACTTGGAATTGAGGGCAAAGAAAGCAAGCTATGCTCAGACGCTCTGCTAATCATTCAAGAGACTTTCCACAAGGAAGACAGCATGAAGATAACTGCTGTGGCTGAGCTCGCCCTTCCAAAGGCTTCTCGT